GGCATTACTTCTGAAAGGGAATTTAGTGGCTTGTATCCTGTAAACAACTTTGAAAATGTTTTTTGTTGTTGTTGTTAAGAAATGCTTTCTGGAGAAAGCAAGGGGGTTCAAGGAGAAACTGTGAGTCGGTGGCACCTTCAAAGGGACGGAGCAAGGAGAAGCTTTTCTGTCAAGGTGACAAAATGACCAGTGGATTTCTTTCAAGCAGGCATCTGTCTCAGGATACCTGTTGCAACTTATAACAAGTTTCTATAGCTTTTTTTATTACTTGTTGATGCTTAAATGTGTAGCAGAGTCCGCATACATCTGCACTTGCTCAGAAGCTCTCCACGGGGATTTCTCTGGCTATCCCCGGGTTTGCTGAGATGGGCACGGAGGAACTGGGGCTAAGCACAAAGGAGGGGGTACTGGAGAAAGTTACAAAGTCCTTTACAAGTAATGAATATTTTTGCTTTCCAGCATATAACAACTAAATGTTCACATCTTGTTAATATTATTTTGATAGTGAATGACCTACAGTTTTTATATTTTGCACAATATTGGTCCCTGAAACTCTGTTGTATTACATGCCTGTGTGTCTGTCTGTGCACACAGACTTGCCCTACAGAATTTTCTCTTAAGGTCCCAGCCTGCTAAAAAGCTTTAGAGCTGCCATGGGTTTCCAGAGACTTATCTACCATCAGTGCTGGAACTGCTGGACATATGCCTCATATGGATGAGGGGACGATACACACACTTGAGTGGATACTCTATTTTTCTCATCTCTCAGCCAGCTGATGGCTTGCTTTTACCCACTTCTATGTCCCACCACGTGGAGAGCTCTTATGTTAATCAGGGAAATACATTCAGCTCTGTTGGTAACATCTGGATAACAAAAATACCTGAAGGAACCCGGTGTTGAAGGGATCAGTTGGGTTTGCCCAACCGGCTTTATTTCTGGTATTCTTTCAAGAAGCATACCCGTGAGACTCAAACATAACCATGACAAGAAGTTCTCAAACTGCTAATGAGTTTACTATTAACCGTCTATAATCCATGAATATTTATTCCTGATTTTTTTTTAAGTTCTTACTGAACAATTATTTTCATCTTCTGCAACAAGGAAAATGTTCCATATTCACATTTCATCTTTTTGTTGACAATTTAATTATTTCACTATCTTCAGTTCAGTTGTTGTTTGGTTTGGGTTTCTTTTTCTAGTTAAAATTGTGCACTACTTGTATTCTAGATTAACATATATACTTAGTAAGTAATTTTAAATATGAAAATGAACCATTACAACTCACTTAAGGGCTCCCACTGAGTATGTATGTTTATTTTTTTTATGATCTTTTTTTTTTTCTTTTTCAAATTCCTTATTGATTAAAGGAAAGGCTTAAAAGAAAAGTGACAGCAAAAATAGGCATAGTTGCTCAGAATTAATATAATAATGTAATTTCTTAAATGGCACACATTTGAACTATTAATACTTTGGTTTAAAAAATCCATTTAGCTTAGTCCTTGAGATTACTGAACAATTTTCTCTTGCAGAAGTGGCTTGTACTAGAGTCTGAAATAAACAAAAGAGGAGTGTAGGTGTGTTCCATCACATACTGTGGGCCACAGTGGGTCAAATTCATTACCTACTTTTAAATGCCTTTTATTGAAGGATGAAGAGAGTTTGATTTATATGTATTAAAATATTATTCTTTTCTTCATACCAGTAAGCACTGTTAAAAGTGGCTTTTGATTTTCCATACAGGCTGCCAAACACTGGAGAGATTTTTCTCAAAGGGGTTGGATATTTTTGTTGTTGTTGAAGGATGAATCGGAAAAGGGCATCTTCTCCTGTCCTTTTCTGCCTGTTCCTGCACTCATCTGGCAGAGGGCAGGATTCAGGCTGCTGTCAGACAGGGAACACAGAAGGGCTGCACCAATCCGTGTTCAATGAGGGGCTCAAACACCAACACCAGACTCACTGGGAATATGTTTTCCAAGTAGGCTTTGGGTAGTTGCCTACCTTTGAGGAAGTGGAGAAGGGATTCCTGAACCAAGGTAGTGCACCAAGGTAGTCATTGCATCGCCAATATTACCTGCCTTCAACACAGTGATGTCATCCAGTACTTCTGAAGGAGCTAACTTCAGTTGCTTGTAAGATAAGCTGAAACTAAAATAAAAAAGAGAGAGGTAGTCACTTCTAAAGACCTCCAGACAGTGGTCTTCATCTAAATCAGGTGTCTATCCATCCTGAGTCTAGGATTCTCAAATGTGTAGAATAATTCAGTATTAATAGGTGGTACGGCAGGTTCCTTGGCAGTGAGTATTAGGGAGGTGGACTGGTAGAAGGCAGTGAGAATCTCCACTAAAACAGGAGAGGAGAGAGACCTAACATGGAAACAATTTTTGCTGTATATATAGCAATAAACATAAAGATGGTCCATGTGATACACTGTAACTAACCATACTGTAAATAGTCAGAATACAGAAAACCTTCAGAAGGCTGCATATGCATTGATAATGCTTTAGACTAGCATAAATGTTTGTTTGCTGTCTCTAGCTGCTGAAAATAGATTTAAATATAACTAGATTTAGGGAAAACAAATATCTTGATACTTGCCAAATTCTAGCTTTAGTCACTACAGTGAGCCCATTTGAAATTAATTCTGCATTTTTTGTTTGATGAAGGGTATTGCTTTCTTTCAAATCTCCACTTATGACTGATGCTAGCCAGAAAATAATTTTAAAGGGTTAGAAAATCGATTGGCTAGATTTACAGTGTTTTAAAACTTGACACTAGTTCTTTCTTGTTGAGAGTCATTCTCAACTCCCTCAGTCACTCACCAGTCTTCCTTTTGGGAACAATGTCTGCAATGGCTATGGGGGACAGCACCAGATATGAGCATGCTGAGCTCTGGTGGTATCACTGGCAGCTTTGAGTAACCAATCTGCAAACCTTGGGAATTATTAGAGCTGGACTACAGCCTGACTTGGGCCATCTCTAGCTACTGATCAGTGCAAAGATTTCTCTAGGTTTTATACCAATGACATTTGATACAGAACCATTTGTCATCAGAAAGCATTGGGTTAACCTCCAAACTGATGAAATGCATGCACATAGAGTTAGCACAAGTCCTCCTTCCCCCCCAAATCTGTCCCCACAATTTCATGACAATCTGAATTTTATCCATTGCTTTATGACAGCCCATGTGACGCTGCCGGGTGACAATCCATTGCTCTGCTGTAAGCTACTGTACTTCACTGCTTCCCGGGATTGCCCGTGAAGTTTAACTTCTACCTTCTGAGCATGTCTTCATGTGCTGAATATATTGCTGTCATGTAGACTGTAGTAATACCAAGACAAACTTCTAAGGATGTGATTACACCCCATATCTTGTGTTAGATGTTTATGGTACCTAAACCAAAAGCTTAGCCTCCCAGAGTCATCTTCTATTCAGTGCAGAGGGAAAGGCTTTTATGGATATCAGTTCAGGGCAGAATCCCAATTTAGGAGGAACTTGTCTCTTGCTCTGACTGTCATCTCATCATTGTCCTTAGGGTTAGGTGGTGTTAATAATGCTTTTTTCTTTCCTGTCTTGCGTAGAAAACTGAAAGCTTTGTCGGCAATTTAGAGATAATAAATAAAAATTGCGTAAGTCGTGGTCATTAATGATACATGTTGTAACAGCACACGAGTCTCCGTATTTCTATAGAACGGCAAGGGGTCTAAATATGCCTCAATAACTACAGTATACATGCAAATCTAATCTAATGTTTTCTGAGTACTTCATATCATTTTTTTGCCAGAGTAGCTTTCATAATTGCAATAGTCACAGTCTTCTATTTTCTAACATCACAATTTTTGACACTAATATATTATGATCTCCTTTTCCTGGTTAACTAACACAGTGGAGTCAGTATTCATTCTGTATGAGGTAATGCTACATTACAGTCTCATATAGTATGAATTTTACTGTCAGATACTGATGAATGCTGATTGTCAAACATTTCATTAAATTCAATACATATCTCATGTAACTTGAAAAAAAATGCCATATCTAAATCTAAACTTTTCAGAACTGTTTTATAACTCTCAGCAGTGCTTTTAATATCAGGTATCAGAATACTTGATATATAAAGGAGTTAACAAATATATACTTTTCCTGCACATTTTGTTTCAGTGAAAGGCTTTCTTTTCTTCAGTTGGTTACTTTAGAAGTTAAAGCTCCATGAAGGCCCAGTCTAGTACATTAGCTAGTTCCCTGAAGTTTGATTATGAATCAGTTTCTATCTTTACAGGGAGGACATTCTTTATGTCAGGCAAAGTACACATTTCAGTGTCAAGCTTGACATTCTTCTTTTAGCCCTTTGACATGTTAAATAACATAGAAGTCAGACTGCAATGTGTAGAACATCTTTTAAATTTCAATAGCAGAACTGTCTTATATCTTTTAGTCAAAACGATCCTGTCAAATCCACGTGGCCTTCTGAAGCTCAGCTGTGATTGTCACAAACGAAAATTCAAAACTAATGCAGAATCATAAAGAGATACCCAGTGAGATCACTGTTAAAGTTCACCTTTCATTTCATTTGTAACCTTAAATGTGAAACAAAAAGTCAGCCCGCATATGTCAAACAAGACACATTTATCATACAATCAGTTAGAAAATATGTATTTCTGGAGGGACTTGGTCCTTGATCCACCTCATTTATTAAAAGGAAGAAAAGATTCCTGTCCCAATGTAATTAAAGTAACGGGCATGCCATGTGTATTTGCAGTCATACATGGAGTAGTCTGTGTTAGGATTTGAGAGCAGAGAAGGTAAAGGAAAAAGTGAGAGATCTTCTCACACGCCCTTTCACAGGTTTAGTATAAGCTGAGTATTCAAAATTTTAGACATTAATTGATTGCTCTTTTCCTAAGGGCTTTTATGCCCTTTCTATTACTGCATTGTCTCTGTCTGACTTATTTGAGGCTAACGCACTAATGTAGGGAAAACAATAACTCTTCTGAACTCTTCCAGCTTCTCAGAATGACGATTTTGAGGAACTTTGCTGACCATTGTGTCTATCCTTTTGCAGGTAGGTGTTGTTCTCTACCGGAAGCGTTTCTGTGCTCTTGTAGAAACCGTCTGTAGATAAAAATGAAAATAAAACAAAAAAAGTAACAATTTGCTAGTGTTTCCAATGAAACAGAGGGATACCCACAGGGAAGTTGCTATCATTTCACTAAAGTTTTACCATCAGTTAAGACAACTGTGTCCTCTGTTGTTTCCTTAAGAAGGTGGTTATTTTTCACTATTTACCATTGTATTTCTTAACTTTCAAAACTGGTACTGTGTGACACAAGAAATTGCACTCCTCATTACAATTTCAGCATCAGTACATATTAAGCGTTGGCATACACAGTTAAACATATGGCATGCTTTTTCAATTGGATATATGAGGTCTTAATTCATGTTGAGTGTTATGTTAGACTAGGCTATTATATAGCATGTCTTTTCTTATACCAGGGAACAAAAGGAAGGTCTTTAGAGTGAAGTGAAGTCTGCTGCTGTTAATAGAGAACTACCTTGTCATGAAGCTCGCCTAAAAAGTGTCTCCTAACCTTACAACATATCCAACAACAATCTTTCTATGTGCTCAGGTAAATATTATGTTAAATTGGAGGGCGTTTGAGAGTGTGTATTTGAAAGTACAAAGCACTCCACCTTTCAGTGAATGAAACTTTGCAAACTCGGGAAGCCTTGAGATTACTCATATACCTAGATATGTTAATGTAAGAGATGCATTAACGTTAAAGCATGAAAGACACTATTAGTTCTGTCTACCACTGGGCTACATTATGACTGAAGTGTTAACTTTTGAAATCTCAGAATAGATAGATCAAATGATTTTTTGAAGAAGTATATTTATACTTATAAAATAATTTTAATTCAGTATCATCAAATATTTTGGGTAATCTAGTTTTATGATGGACATACACATATACAATTTTAAGATTAAATATGCAAGAGGTCCTGTTACAAAAATCCAACTACATTTAAAAGAACATAATGATATTAACATATAGGCAGATTCCAGGATATACAAGAAGATAATAACAGAAAACGCAGAAGAAACAGTGAGAGTCATCTGATCCATCTTCACATCCCAAGAAAAGATTAACTCACTGTTAATAGATGTTGCTGAAATTACACTGCAAGTCCTCTGGTTTTCAGGGTTGGCTATATCTGACTTCTTTCTTTTGGTCATCTTCATTATTGTCCTTGGTCAAGGAAAGGATGAGAGACAAGGAGTGATCATGGGGCTAGAAACCGCTGAATTTTTGCAGCATAGTTTTTCAGGTTTGCAATTTTCTATGTTAGTTTGGAGGACACTAAACAAAATCACTATACCAGTGTCATATTCATGCTGTATTAATTCTCCATGGTCCAACCTTGACATCTAAAAAGGGAAGATACCATTCTGAAGACCCTCCTTTGTCTGTATTTCCCTCACTGTCTCAGAGGCAACCTCTGTGTTTGGCAGAGAACTACGACTTTTGCCAAATGGGAATTTGTGGAGTTGGGGAAAGGAAGAACAGGTTGTGCTGTGGTTACAGCTGCCCACCAGAAAAGGGGAAGGAAGATGCTTGCTGAGAACAATCTCTTACTAACTCCTGGGCGAAGAGCAGGCTCTTTTGTTGGTCTGTGGACCACCATACAAGAAGCCATTTACCTGGTTGATCTGATTTTGCTGCTTGACCAGTTTTTCTTCTTTTTTTTTTCTTGAGAAAAGGTGACTAGCTGTATGGAAACCTCCTACAGTCCAAATGCATCCTGTAGCCTGGACAGCATTGCTTTATCATGACATATAAAAGTCTCCCTTTGCATCGCAGCAGACCAATGTTGAAGCTCGTGCTTCTCTTCTACAGGTATTCTTGAATTAGGACCATATCAGTAAAGCAACAATAACAGGAAAAGATAAATGAAAGAAGATACAGTTAGTTAATGGAGTTTTAGTTAGAGTAACAAATAATTTCTGTGGGTTTGCTAATGCTTCTTTAATTAGAAGTATAGGATGCGTGAACAAAAAATACAAATATAAACATGTATATACATGCACACACACACACTGAGATTCATTCTGGAAAAATCACTGTTATGGGACCAAGTTTTCTTCTTCTCCTTTGTAGAATTATTGTTTTCTTTTATTCTATTTTTAGATTTCAGTTGTTTGAAAGGATTGGCTTTTATTTTAATTGGAATTTTCACTTTGTTATCTGAAACCTATTTTTGTTAGTGATGAGGCTACTTTTTAAAAAAAAACATATTTACAAGAGAAATGTGGAAAGAATTTTACTCCAAAAAATCCCATTGTTAATCTCTTTATTTTATATATTATGAAAGTATCTGAGCTTTGTGTTTGTCATATTTTAAGTCCAGAAGGGAAAAGATAAAGGTTTGATACATAAAATTGTGAGACGGTTTAATGCAGTGGAGGTAGCCATGAAATGCTTAAAGGAATCTAAATGTGGGAGAACTTCAGTTTTCAATTACAGCTATAGAGCTTGCCAATTTTTTGCTGTCATTTTGCATTGACGTGTGGAGAGTGTGAAAGATGTCCCAAAGGTTTCTCCTTAAATGGGACAAGTGAAAATGCCACCCCAGATTTTTTCGCTCTCTGTATAAACAGAAAGTCACTTTCCTTTTATTGCTGCTTGCATTTGAGATCAGGACTGAGTACCATAAGAGACAGAGAGAACTAACTGAGAGTAAGAAAAGGTATCTTGCAGATGTGGAATAATTCTGGAAATGTTTTAGACTGCTGCATTTCAGGGTTTTAGCTTTGAAATCGTTACATATGTGTGTAACTACACCCATACTTTGTTCCACTGGCTTATGTCAGGTTTCACAGGAGTTTTTTACCCCTTACTAGAGCCATAGCATTCAGTTATTAGATTCTGACACTTGCAAACTTGACTTCTGTGTAACTGTTTGGGTGAAAAACATTAAGCCTGCTCAGAAGCTTTTGCAATGTGTAAGAATTAATGACAGATTTCTGATCTTTGACTATTCTTGACATTTTGTCTGAGAACAAATTTCAGACATTTTCAGTGTCCAGAACTCATTTTACTTGGTGAAACCTGATTTGGAAAGCTGTAAGAAGAAATATTGCTGGTCCATTTCAGGCTAGTAAAAAGTTAAAATTTAGGACTCTGAAGGTTATTTCAGTGTTTCTAAATTTGAAAAAAAAAAAAAAAAAGAAGAAGAAGAAAAAGAATCATTCAGGTACCTCTGATACAATTCTATGGATTTGTGAATGGAAAAATAAATATATCTTTTTATGTTCTTGAGCTTCGGGGTAATCAGACAAACAAAGGCAGTTTCTCTATTCACAACACAAATATTTTCAATGAGCACTCAAACTGAGAGCCCTCTGTCTAGATTTCCCTGTGAGTCAAATGTTAGTGCTTGGTCAGACTGTACTGAGGTTTCCTGGTCTTTTATAGTAGATCATCACAGCATAATTCTGTGCTCAATAACTAAATACAGGTAACTAAAGAGGAGAGCGAGGTGCTCAAAACAGTTTGGCATGGGTACTTTTCTGGAGCTGAAGAGCAGCAGTACCTCCACGTGGCATTGCGTTGTGCTCTGCGGATGTAGCCCTTCATTTCTGTACGCCCTTTTCCATGCCCTCTGACTGTGCTGTTTATGTCCCTTCTCAAACAGTACCTGCACAGAGCCATTTTTCTGAAAGCACTGAAGAGCTTTGTACTGTGTAAAAATATGCCAACCTATCAGTCTCAGGGAGGTTTGATCCAGCCTCAAACATTATCTCCTAAATTGCACATTTCATTTTAACATTTTAACATTTAACATTTTAACCAAAACATAAAAAATACAGGGAAAAATTAATGTTGCATTTCTACTGATGTAGTTTACAACTTTAAAATTTCACCAACATGAGCCTTACTAAGACTAACAAATTAGTTTGAGTAGCAAGTAGTTTAGTTGGAGATCCGTAAAAACTTGCTGAGGCTAAATGTGAAATGCTCAAATGGCTGATAGCAACATCTTTGCCACCTGAAGTCAGTATCTCATTACCCAAAAAATCTCATGTTTGGGTCACAGGTGGCCGTACTAGCAACATTTGGATCCTCATGGACTTTTACTTTTTTGAAGGTGGGATATGAAAATGCACTGAAGCCTAAAAAGAGATTCAGCAAAAATATAAAGCAAAACGTCCAGATATAACAGGTTGGCATTACTTTATATTTAACTTTGAGAAACCCTCTAACTGCTAAAGAATAGAAAAGATGATTAAGGAAGAGATTTCAGAAAATTACTGAAAGGCTGTAAGATCTGATTCCCCTACAGTGCCCATGAACATTTCCAGGATAATAAATCCTTAAACACAGTGAAGGTGATGCATTAGAGAGTGTCAAAATTGTCATTTGTCCCAGACAAGCTGGTAGTGAGTATGCATATGTTATTAGTATGTGGTCTGATACAATCTGTGAAAAATGACTTTGTGAGCACAGAGTCACTCCAGTAAAACATTTTAAAATGCTTTTTTCTGTGCTGTGGATGAAAAGGGCAAATTTTGGATCATTAAAAAAATTCAAGAAAGAAAACAGTTGAGCAAAAGGGAGTAATATGGTGTTCATACTAGAAATAGTCCTAAGTGAAGATTCTCTTTTATTATTAAGAAAGTTTTACTATACTCAACAGTGCTGTATGAAAATATTGAGCACCTAGCCAAATTCATCCCAAATTTAATAATGTAATATAATAATTACAATATACAGAGCCAGCTGAGAAAGCACAGGCTTGTTTGACAGTAGGTTAAATCTCTTGGTTTTTTTTTTTTATCAGAAATATAAAATTAGCACAAGACTTTTGTTATGTTTTTTTTCCCTTTTCTTATACAGACATAGAGAAAGGACATTTCTTATACAAGCTCCAAGCAATGTCCCAGTTTAGCAGGGCATTCAGTTGGAACACAATAAGGTTTGTTTTTAAGACCATCTATTTTATAGGTCCACCAAGGGAAAAGGAAGGAGGGAAAATGGTTAAAGACAGGCTTGGGCAAAGTTGTTATTGTGAATGGTTTAATTTCTGAAAACTGTGCTTTAGAGAGTACCAAAATGATTAGATTATGAACAGCTTTGATAGATCCAGAAAAGAAAGATAAAAAACTTTTGAAAATACAAAAATGGAACCATTTAAATAAATTTTGTTTTGAATTTAGCCAAATACATTTAAAAGGATTACACAGCAAAAAGAAATGAAAACTTTGCTTTGGACTGAATTAAGCATTTAATTGAAACCTTTTTTATTTTCCCCTTTATTTTCATTCCAGTGAGATAAAGCTAACATTTTCTGTTTCAGATTGACCAGAAATTCACTTTCTCAAATTATTTTTTTAGTTTATTTATATAAAAATATACTTTTTTCCCCCATTCTTTTCATGAGGGAAATCACTTTGCCTGAGCTGATAACACCCAGCTCTCCAGCTCTATCGTGTCCACTCTTGAAGTAGCAGGTTTAGGGCTGTTGATCTATGAGGGAGGGTTGCAGCGGAGACGAGTCACAGTGAAAAACAGGATTGACGCTGGACTCCTAAGCTCTGCTGGGCTTGTTGGCA